CTGGGTTGGGGGCTGCTCCTGGGCTGGGGCTGCCATGGGCTGGGGGCCGCTGTCCCCGTACCCCCACGCCTCTTCCAGCCAAAGCCCCGATTCGGAGGGCCTAGGGTGCCCGGAGTCAGCTCCTTCCTGGAGAGGGAGGCCAGGCGGTCATCCCTGGGGCTAGGTCCATGGCCCAGGCCTGGCATGGAGAGGGGACATCCCTAGGAGGCCCAGGGCTAGCCAGGCTTCCCCTCAGCTCCTGGGGGAGAAGCCGGTCCTGCCCCGTCTACCCCAGGCCCCAGCCCCAGGGTTACCAGGCCTCAGGGCCACAGGGCCACTACTGGCCAGGCCCACAGATCAGCTTGTGCACGTGGGCGTGTGCACGTGGGCGTGTGCAGGGGCTGGGCTTCTCCTAGGTGTCCCGCAGGCCTGCAGGCGGAGCAAAGGCCCAGGAGAGCCAGGCTCTCTGCTGCTCTGTCAGTCCCCTGAGTAGGAGGTCTGGGCCCTCGGGCCTGTCAGGGGCAGAGCAGCTCAGAGGGGTGTAGTGGCCTGCCTGGGGTCACACAGCGGGGAAGTGCCAGGATCCGGGCTGGAACCTGGGTCTCCCCACTCCACGCCAGGACTGTGTGGGCTTCTGAGCGGCTGGGACCTGTGGGTGGGCACTTGCTTTCAACAGGGAGGGCGAGGGGCTGCGGGGCACTGGGAGGGAGAAGAAAATGAGGGCCTGCTGTCCCTCCCATTAACAGAGATGTTTCCTGGGTCCCAGCTCTGCCCCAGCTGGCCTGTGACAGGCAGCCTGGACCCTGGRCCATCTGGACTGTGTCCTTGGCCCAGGCCTGGCGTGGGGAGGGGAAGTGTACCCTCATGCACACACCAGTAGGCACAAGCCCAATCAGTGGGGAGGCCAGTAGTGGCCCCATGGCCCCGTGGCCTGGTAACCCTGGGGCTGGAGCCTGGGGTAGACGGGGCAGGACCAGCTTCTCCCCCAGGATGTGCCCTTGGGCCCTGCTGCCATTAAGTTGGACGGCACTCTGGGGATTCTGTCCCCTGCTGTGGCAGCTGGACACAAGCAGGTGCCCACACCGAACCCCAAAGTCCCCTGGGCCCTTGTGAGCCAGGGTTGAGCAGAGCCCAGGGGTGGGGTGGGCCTCCTGGGGGCCCGTGGGGACAACCGCGGCCTCACCCTAGCGGGGCCTTCTCCCTGCAGAAGTGGCTCTGCTCGCCCCTGCCCTCCACCTCCTTCAGCCCGGGCGGCCCCGCGGCCGAGATCTCGCCGCTGGAAGTGCTGGACAAGGACGCCAAGGCCACACAGCTGCTCCTGCTGCAGCAGGACAAGGCGCCCTCGCCCTCGCCCAGCGGTCACTCGCAGACCAGCTGCTTCACCAACCAGGGCTACTTCTTCTTCCACCTTCCCGACGCCCTGGAGATCGAGCCCTGTCAGGTGTACTTCACCTTTGACCCCTGCGCGGAGGAGGAGCCCGAAGAGGGCGGGCCTGGGGTGCCCACGGGGTCGCCCCTGCCGCCCCTGCCGCCCGCGAACGGGGACGAGGATGCCTACTGCACCTTCCCCCCAGGGGATGACCTGCTGCTCTTCTCGCCCRGTCTCCTCGGAGGCTCCCCCAACACTGTCCCCGGGGTCCTTGGGGCCAGCGCAGAGAGGCCGCCCTCCTCCCTGCAGGAGGGAGTCCCCCAAGACTGGGGCACCCCGTCCCTAGGGCCTCTTGTCCGGGCAGCCCCCAACCTGGTGGGTTCCCAGTCCTCCCTGGAGCTAGTCCTGGGAGAGGCTGGGAGGGAGGACCCTGCCCCTGGCCCCAGGGAAGGAGCCGACTCCKGCCGGGCCAGCCCTCCTGGGCAAGGCTGGGTCAGAGCCCCTACCTCCGGCCTGGCCCTGAACACGGATGCCTACCTGTCCCTCCAAGAACTCCAGGATCAGGACCCAGCTCACCTGGTGTAGACTGACGGCCAGTGGGGGAAGGCCAGCCAGCCACTGCGCCAGGCCGCAGAGGGGCCCATTCTGTCCTTGAGGACAATCCACTGCTGAGGATGCTTATGTCCAGCTGCTCCCAGATATCTCCATCCAGATGGCCCCACCCAGCCCCACATACTCAATTGCTGCTCCCTGGTCCCCCTGTCCATCCTCCACAGGACAAGTGCGCATCCACAATACAAATGTAGCCAGGTCCCTCCCCTGCTCCAGACCTGCTGTGGCTCCCCATTGCCCAGCTCCATTTCTTGGCCTGGCACTTGCCCCTCCAGCATCATATCAGGATTTTCCCATCTGGACCCTCACCAGGGTCCTACTGAGCCACTTGGAGCTGCTTTGTGTCCCAAAACTTTGCATGTGGTATTTCCTGCACCTGGTCTGGCCTCCGCTGCATCCTTCAATGCCAGTGCCAGTTCTGCTTCTGCCTGGGGAGAAACACCGCCTTCCTGAATGTGCCCAAATCTCCAGATTCCACCGGAAAAGACCCACTCTCAGGAGCACGAGGTGGCTGGAGAAAGAGGCCCTGTTACTTATTTGGGGGGGCTTTCTCCTGAGCCCAGAATGCTTGCAGGCTGCATCCTAAATGTGGCCCAAGTACGGACAAAGCGCCCCTGCAGAATGTCCGCTGCCGATCTTTCCACGGTGGCCTCACGGACTCACCAGGGAGGCCTGCTGGAAAGTAAACCCTGGCGCTGCCAAGGGGCGCTGCGCGGGGGCCGCCTGCTCCGCGCTGAGCTGTCCTCCAGAAAGCGGGCCCTCAGTGTCTCTTCACTGCACTTGATACCCTACCCCGCACCCCCTGGGCTCCCTGGACGAGCTGATGAAGGGCAGGATCCCGCACAGAGGCCAAGCCCGCCCCAGCAAGAGGCGCAGCCCTCCCCGCCCACTCAAGTGGCTCGGTCCTTCCCAGTGCTCCTGCCACTCCTCTGCTTCTCTGCCCTCTGCCCTGGGCACTGGTCACACGGGGGTGACCACAGCCTCGCTCCTCCAAAYAGCAGAGGCCAGGCCGCAGCCGGCTCGCGCTTCTTATGGGTCCCGCTCGCAGCTGATTGGGTGCCTGACCACAAGCCCACCCATAGGCTGAAGCTCTGTCCAATCAGGGAGACGTAGCCTTATCTAGCCAATCAGATAACCTCTCAGTCTGAATTCCCGGAGGGAGAGCGGCCTCTGGGAGCAGGTGCTTCTGGATGAGCCTCCCAGGAGTGGAACCACGTGAGCTGAGGGCATCGGGATCCTGACACAGAAACTCTAACTGCCCAGGGCCCTCTTGACCATTTCTGTTTCTTTAGGCCAAAATAAACTCCCTTCCCTGAGGTTGTGAGTCTTGGATCTTCACTGTGGAAAGGGCTGAATCACATGGGTGTCGTTTCCCACCTGCTGCCTTAAATTGCTGTGTGTCCTGGGCTGCAGGTCCTGGTCTGGTCACTCCTGAGCTCCCCGTTGGCACTCTGCTGTGTGTTCCAGGGCAAAATACAAACCTCTCTGCGTTCAGTTTCCTTATCCCCACAATGGTAATAGCATTGGCCCCCACAGCTTTGAAGAGTCCTTGGGAAGGTTCTGTTTCTCAAGTCCTGGCCGTTCGTGTGTATCTCTTTCTCTTCATGACCTCGCTCGGCCATCATCATATTTTTTTTTCTTTAAATCATTTCACTATTTTTGTTCAAATTCATTTATTTAAGGAAAACTGCTTCTGTAAATGGGGAAAATGGGTTTCATTGTAAATAAAAGCTAACTGTAAAAAGTAAAAAACAATAAAACAAAATAGTATTTAAATCCATTGCCTGATGGAAATCTGTTGTCTCAGTTCAGTCTAGAGGGGGAAGTTGAAGACCAAATGGAAATTTGCTGCCTGAGCCGAAGCAAAAGGGTTATAAAGGGCATGTCTCAGGAGCAGGGTTTTCTACTCTGTGTCCAGCACCCTCAGCCCATCCTGCACAGGTCTGTGCTTAGGGAAGGGTTTACTTGATTGATGGCTTTATATCTATCTGTATGTGCATGCATGGGCTTGCATGCTTGTGTGTGTGTGTGCGCACACACACACACACATCTATTTCAGTGCCCTGAAAAAATAAAAATAAAAATGAAGACCAGGCTGTGGGTGGCCATCCCTGACATTCATAAAACTCCACTCGTGGCAGACATTGCTAATGGATCACAGATCTTCCTGCAGAGCCTGGATGCAGCTTTCGATCCTACAGTGCCGTTCCAGAGGCAACCTCCTGTTGATCAGAGGTGGCACCCGGTGACACCTGTGGGCCACATCACCTCTTAGGTTCCTTCGTTCTTATTTTTCCTGATTCCTGTTTCCCAGGCAGGGAGCGCTGTGGGCTGAGGGTGTGGGGACTGGAAGGCTGACAGGTGTCTCTGAGCAGGCAAGCCCAGGGAGCCCAGCTGTCCCGTCGGGTCTGGTGAGAGACCTGAGCTGGTGGGGAGTCCAGAAAGGTGTCACCCTACACCAGGTGGTGATGGAGTGATGGGCCACAGTCACCTTGTGTCACATCTAGTGGGGATTAGAGCATGGGCCTTGGGGAGAAGGGACAGGAGGAGGCAGCTGGCAACTGTGGGAGCAGTGAGGCAGAGACAGGTCCCCTGGGTTGGATTGCAGGAGAAAGGCCGGCACCAGCTGGGGACCAGGCACCAGCTGGGGAAGCAGGAGGCCCTCAGGCAGATCTGGGGATGGGGGAAAAGGGGGGGAGGGCTTCCAGCCGGTCCTGTTTCCTTCCTGTGGAGCTGGATCGCTCCTTCGCCCCCCATCTCTGCTCCTCCTCCACCTCCCAGATCCCGTCTAGGCAACTCTGAGCGCCCACAATTCCCAAGCAGATTACCGTCAATTTTCCCAAGAAAATTATAGGTCTAAGTCTGGGGTGAATAATCCCCTCTGCCTTTCTCCCTGCTGAGTCCCAGCCGACCGGCAAAAGAACCCCAAACCAAACCCCAGATGACCAAGGGGCCCACTGTAAAGGGCTCAGGGCACTTGTTCCGGGCACTCCCCAGGCGCCTCTCATCACCCGACCCCGAGGGCAGTTCTTTGCTTCTCATTCTAAGGATGAGGAAACCGAGGCTCCGGGAGGTGAAGAAGGGAACTGGTGGTCGACAGAGTCCAGATTCACTGAGCTGCTTGGGGCTGCAGAGCTTTTGGCCCACGGCAAACACAGCRCTGCCTCAGAGATCCTGCCCACGGCAGAAAACTAGCAGAATTCCATCTGTGTTCTGGCAGCCAACTTAGAAAAAGCAAAAAACGCCCTGGTCCATAGCTGTGATTGGGAAAGGGGAAGGCCCGTCTGAGCTCAGCGCATCTGGGGATGAACGTGGCCACAGGGTCCCTATTTAGCCTCTTCCCGGGCCCTCCTGTCCCCACTACCTGCCCCTCCACTCTTGCCACTCTGGGCCCTTCCGGGGTGGTCTTGCTAAGAGCCACACTTGGCCATGTCACACCCTGTTTAGCCTGCCGTGACTCCCTGTTGTCCTGGCTCCTTAAGGCTGTGGTGCCCCACCTGGGAGACACAGGTGCCCCCTTGGCTCTAGTGCCTCCATGGCCCCACTGGTGACTGGGCAGGCAGCCTGGATGGTCTCTAATTGTCATCCTAGACCTGGTAGCGGTGAGTCCATGTGCTGCACAGATTGTGGCGTGAGCTTGGGACTCTGGGTTTCACTTCCCAGCCAGGTGTGGGGGGTGAGAGTGGGAGCCACAACTGACTCAGGCTTGGTGCCTGCTGATCCCCGGGTCTGAGGTCATCTGCACCCAGACAATCCACCCGGACTCCTACCCACACCTCAGGACCCCATGTGGACATGCCCACTTCCAGGAGCCTCTCCGATATGCCCCAAGTCGGCTGATCATGGCCCCTGCTGGAGCTATCTCTGTCAGAACCACCCAGGATGCCACCTGTGCCCAGACCCTGGGAAGGTTCAGGAGCATGGCAGCTATGTGGAGAGTCGGCCCCACGGTGCAGCCTGCATGGAGAAACACCAGGCTCAAGAGACTCTGCAGACTTCTGTCCAGGGAAGGAGGACCGGGTGTGGGACCTGGGCAGGGGGCACTCCCCTGGGCTCCTGCACTTTCAGAAATGGGTGGTTGGCTGTGGTGCTTGGAAGAGGCAGGGATTGATCACGCAGTTTCTCAGCCACCATTTGGCCATGGGGGTTTATCAACAGGCAGTGGAAGAGGGGCTAGGTGTGGGGACCAGGATCTGTGAGGGTCACGGTGGAGTATTCTCACCTACGTGCTGTGGACGCTGTGCTCAGCATCAGGCTAACTGGCTGGTCCTTACAACACGGCCTGAGGGAGGTCCTCTTCTAAGGCTCAGAGTTGTCCAGTGACTTGCCTGAGGTCACACAGCCCAGAACATGGTGGAGCAAGGATTCGAACCCATAATCTGTAGCACTCAGAGGGGCCCAGGTCTTTCCGGATTTTAAAGCACGTGCAGGTCTAATACCTCAGCTGACCTCACGGCAGCAGAAGACGGAGAGAGGCAGATTCTGAGTCCTGTTTCACAGTGAGGAACAGGAGGCCCCTAGAGCCTGGCGTCATGTCTCAGGCCACCCATTGAGTTTGGCTGCGAGGGGGGGGGGGAGTTGATTCAACTGGAGCTCACCACCACCTGGCCCCATGACAGCCCYGGGACGTCCCCTTGGCTGACTGGCTCAGAGATATTTTCCACCCTCGGGGTTGTGACGCACCTGCTGCTCCTGTCCCGGGGCGGGGGCAGGAGGCAGGAAGCCCTGAGCTGAGGAGTGCAGGGTGCGGGGAGGGACCTGGCTTGATTCCAGGAAACCAGGACGCAGCGAGGAGCAGGCGCCAGGACCCCGCGTCCCGCACTCCTCTGTGCACCTGGCTGGCTGGGCCCTGGTGCTGCCCTCTCCACAGTCTCAGCCTGATGAGGGGAGGAAGTGACTGAGGGCGCTGCCCAGTGAGCAAGTGGACAGTCACAAACCCCCTCCGCTGTGTGACAGCAAACCAATGGGGTCCGTCGGGACGAAGTTTCTTAGCAAATTCTGTGTCCCTTGGACCTTTTAAAAAATCTGCTTTGAGAATTTATTTTTGGACAGCACATTGGGAATCAGGGCCCTGGGAATCAGGTCGCCTGGGTTCCCGTCCTCACCCTGCCTCGGCCTTGCTGTGTGACCTTGGGCAGGCCCCACCCCTCTCTGAGACACAGGCAGAGTTTCACTCTGGGTCCCCTCGAGGATGGCGTCAGCACCTCCCCAACCTCTAGCCCCCGACCAGCAGCTGCTGCCCTGACCACGCAGCCTGGTCAGACAGAGGCCCGAGCCAAGGCCCCCGAGCGGTGGCGTGGGATGGGGAAGGGACACAGAGACGGGAGAGCCACGGGCTGGTTAGCGGGGCCTCAGGGCCCTCAGGGACCGTGAGTCCTGTGCAGCTGGAGAAGGTGGCCTCCCTCCAGGTCTCCTTCCTGATCTGTCCCCAGGTTTCGCTGGGTCCCCTGCCCTCTGGGTCCAGTGTGGAGGCAGGGCCACCTGCCTCTGTCCCCAGGCTCTGTGCTCCTCTGGGTGGGAGGTGCCTTGCCCCTCAGTGGCCTGGGGGCTGCCCTGTGGGTGGCTCCGCCTAGAGACTCAACACCTGTTGCATGGATGAGTCAGTGGGTTGCAGTTGGGCGCACCAGGCGCTGGACAGAGGTGACAGAGGTGGCCTCTGGGGACTTGGGGGAAAGGCACATCCAGGAAACGGCGCATTTCCCTTCCCGGTCGCAGCAGAGTGGCTCCCTCCCCTGTCCCAGTGCCGGTGACACCTGCATTTCTGTGGGAGGGCTGAGGGGTGGCARAGAGAGCAGGCTTCTGAAGTGACGAGGACCCAGGGTCCCAGGGGACCCCCGGAGCACCCAGCAGCCGCCGGCTCCTGTCCCCACCCTGCCTGTTACTGGGCTGAACCGTCCCCAAAGTACACACAAGTCCTAACCTCAGCCCCGAGTGTGGCCTCGTTTGGAAACGGCGTCTTTGCAGATGTGAGCRGGTTAAGACAGGGTCACCCTGATGAGGGGCCACCCTGGGACACCTTGACGGACAGGGACAAGGCCGTGTGACCGGAGCCACCAGGAACTGGGAAGAGACAAGGGGGGACTTCAGAAGGACCACGGACGCTGCCAATTTGACCTCAGCTTCTGGCCTCCGGAACTTTGCGAAATAAACGGTGGCTCTTGTGCGACACGCAGCTGGGGGCCGTTTGCAGGCCGCGGCAGCCCTGGGAGACGGCTCTGCTCCCACCCATGGGTGGAGGGCCCGCAGGTCAGCTTCTCCCAGAACCTCAGCTCCTCTTTGGCCGAGTGGAGACGCCGTTCCCCTCCGGAGCCCGGCGGCCTGGCTGTGAGCTGCGCAGGACATGTCCTCAAAGGAGTTGACAGCAACGTCCTTCCTTCACTCGCCCACTGTTGGCCCCTCCTGGGTGCCAGGCGCTGTCCCCCTGCCTCCAGGGTGCCCGAGAGGCCACGAGTCCATCCCTGGCTTCTGTCCTGAGGCTGGAAGGCCCTGATGGAGAGGGTGCAGACTTCTTGGCTGTGCGCCCTCTTTGGTGGACGACAAGTAGACACCTGCTGTGTGCAGGGCTCCAGGGAGAAGCTGGGGTGTGGCATTGCCCAGCACCCGCTCATGCGGCCACGCGTGCACTCGCTCAGGATGCGGAGAGGAGCGCCTGCAGGGTGGCCGGGCCAGCACAGTGTGGCCTCCAATCCTGGAGGCTGGTGGCTTACAGGCCAGCTGCTCCCGCGGTGGCTGTGAGCAAGCTCCTGTCCCAGGCCCCCTCCGGTGGCTCCTTGGCTCCAGAGCTGCTGTGCGAGCTGCCACCATCTTTACCCGGCGTCCTTGTGTGCAGGGTCCCAGGTCCAAGTCCCCCATTTTATCAGAACACAAGTCCCAGTGGACCGAACACGTTACACCCTCTGCCTCCAACCATCCGGCTGTCACCCCCTTCCTGAGGACATGAGATGGCAGCCCGGGGAGGTGACATTTCTTGCTGGGTCACCAGCCCGTGGAGGGACTGGGATGTCAGCCAGGTCCTCTGGCTCCCCAACCCTCAGATCTGTCACCTGAGTGTGGCACTACATCAGGTCGAGGCCTGTCCCTGTCCCACTAGGCCAGGCCTGCTGTGTCCCCTGCTGGCCACCCACCCACACTGAGCAGGCCTCTAAGAAGCTTCTCTGGCCCTTGGGACAAGAGGGCCGCAGAGGCTGAGGGTCAGCATCGGTGTGAAACACAGGTGCCCAGGGAGCCGCGAGGCCTTCACCCCACTGTGTGTGAGCGCGTCCCCCTGCTGTGGGGACAGCTGTCTGTCTAGATCCTTGGCAGACCTTGTGGGGCAGGCTGCCCGAGCCCACGGCTCACTGGGACCCCTGTGCTGGGACCCCCGTGCTCCCCGAGCCTCCTCAGCATTTGCTGCCCTCCCCGGGGACCTGGCGCCACCCCCTTCCCAGGCTGGGCGGGTCGATGGCTGGGCAGCCACGAGGCACAGAGGACATCGATTGTGCAAGAGCTGCTTTCCAGACCGCCCAGCTGCCAGCCTGTGGGGCCAGGGGCCTGGGCCACTTGACCTGCTAGAGGACAGGTGGACACACAGGCGGGGCTCGGGGTGTCTTTGCCTGCGACCACACGGGTCCCTGCTCCTGTCCCCAGCTCCAGTCCCCCTGGGAAGTCTGAGGTGGGGGCTGGGCCTGGGGAGGGGGTTTGCAGGGAGGAAGGAGAAACCCCCTGGCAGGGACGGTGGGGACAGTGAGGTCAGGAGAGGCAGGGCCTGGGCAGGAGTCGAGGGAGGTGCCCGCCCCATCCTGTGTCCGCCGGCCACGCCCACCTCACACTCCCTCCCACGCTTCCACACTCACACACCTGCCCCTGGCCCTCGACCCTCACTCTGCACCCCAGATACACCTTAATCCATGTGCCTTGCACACTCATTGTGCACCCCACAGCCTACACACCACCCACACGCACCCCCAGTGCTGCACACGCACCCTGAGCCCATGTGTCCACAGCATGTGGGTGCCAGGTGGGGACGCCACATGCTTCGACACACCCAGAAGTCCTTGTGCACAGCCGGAGCCCTGGTGCCCACTCAAGGGACACTCAGCTCTGCGGTGCCCCGTTCCCTGGAATCACGAGTGAGCGGCACCTGGCATTTAAGTGTCCCCCGAAGTCACATTTGAAAGCACAGGTCCTTTGGATCAGACAGAGGGGAGTGGAGGGAGGGCAGGGGCACAGGGGTAGGAAGGACAGCTGAACGGATGGGACGCCGTGACCCCGCGTGCGCCTGTGACTCGGCACCGGTGTGACTCAGGTCGTGTGCAGCCAGGAGGAGGCGCTGTGCCTTCTGCCGTCTGAGGTGCCCTGTGCCTCCTCCGCCGCGTGCCTCCTCCGATGGGAACAGATGGACACAAGGCAGGAAGGCGGGTGACACTGATTTAATAATGAATTTGATTTCTCCCGAGAGTGAGAATGTGATTTCAGGATGTGGTGGACAGAGACTCGAGGGGGGGCGCCGCCTTYTTTGTTCTGCGTCTTGCAAATCTGGTGCCGTCTTCTCTGTGAGCCCGTCTCAGTTCACACTGGCCACATCCCAGGCACTCAAGAGCCACCTGTGGCCACCATCATGGACAGCAGGGCTCCCTAAAATATGTACGGATTCCCAGAAGGCCCAGCTTGGCGGAGAAGGCATCCAGCCCGCCCCTCCCTTCCTCCTCCCTGTGCCCGGGCCGCGGCACCGGCCTCCTTTTCTGTTGGGCCGGTGGCTTCTCTGGTCTCACTGTCCAGGTGAGTGGACTGGTATGGACTCCCGTGCCTCCCTGCCTGGGTCTCTGCACAGCCCCCAGTCCTCAGCCCCCACCCCCTTCTTGCTCTTGGGGACAGGGCTGCAGTCAGGGAGGAGTGTCACCAGGCAACGGTCCCCCGGGAGAGCTCGGTCTCCTGCACCTGCCTGCCAGCCTCCGGGCGCCTGGGGGCGGGCCTGGGCGGCGGGGCGGGCGGTGTGTCTCCAGCCTCCTGCCTGATCACCTGTGCGCAGTCACAGCGCTGTCCCACACCAGCAGGAGCCCTATGGAGCCTGGGGCCACAGGCCACAGGGGACAAGGGCCAGGCACCCCAGCCATGGCTCTGGGCCATTGATCCACCCCAGGCTGGCCAGGAGGGGGAGGAGAGACCTTGGCCTGGACAAACAGAGGAGCCGGCGGCCTGAGTGCGGGCCCAGCACCCACCTGCCCCGCCTGAAGGTAAGGGGCCTGGGGYTGGGGAGCCAGGATTCATGAATGGCCTGGGGAGCAGGTGCCCCCGAGAGCCAGGACCCGCTTCCGGGGGCTGGAGCCACAGCTCTGCTCCGAGGCTGGCCTGCAGGGCCTCCGGCTGCGGCACCTGCGAGCAGAGGCCAGGGGTGCTCGGAGCCGGGCAGCCAGGGAAGCCTCAGGGGCAGTGCAGGCCCCAGGGCTGGCTGGCCCGGACCAGGTGGGCAGGGGCAGGGAGAGGCCCGGCTTCTCGGGTGACCACTCTCCCCACCCTGCCGTCTGAACACGCTGCCCCCTCCACCTCTGGCTGCCCTGGGGCTTTCCTGAGTGTCACCCTCTCCAGAGCCCTGCTGCCCCTGTGGCTGAGCGCAGTCCAGGCCCCTGCACGGCTCCAAGCTGGCCTCAGCCGCTGCGTCCGTGCGAGAGGCCAGGCTGTGCGTCTCAGTCTGCGTGCGSTGGACGGGTGTGGCCCGCGTGCCTCCACTGTGCCCGTGTGGGTGYTGGTGGGCTGTCGCCTGGCAGCGTGGCAGTCCGTGCCCTGCACTCAGCCCAGGGGCTCCCGCAGGGGTGTCCTCCAGGCCCCGAGGCCCCGACCACGCCTCCTGGATGCAGGGCAGAGCACCCGCTGGGCCCTTCTCTGTGCTGCCCTGGCTGGTGAGTCCACTCCTGTGCCCTGGTGTCCCCAGCCCTCAAGTAGCGACAGCCGGCCGCAGAGCTGGAAGAGAGGGCGCCGGGTAGCGCTGCGGGGTCCAGGCTGTGTGCAGTCGGCTCACAGGTGGGGGTCGATCCAGGTCAGCCCGCCTGCTGCGGGAGGCGCTGCCCCACCCCAGTGGGCAGACAGAGGGCCTTCTCCTGGTCAGGAGGGAGGAGAGAGTGAGGAGCGGAGCCAGGGTGGGGTCCAGGTGCTCCTGCAAGGAGAAGGTTGCCATGGCAACCAGGACCGGGTCCTCCTTCCAGCGTCAGGGGAAAGAGGTGCCCGTTGGGTGACGGTGCAGGGAAGAGGGGGTTCCCCTCTTTTGATACCTGGGGGAGCGGCGGAAGGTGGAGGGAGAGGGCAGCTCAGCAGCAGAGGAGAAGTGCGGGGGCGGCAGAGCCACCCATGGTCCTGCCCAGGGCTTGCCCCTCCTCGTCCATTAATACAGTTCATAAGCAAGATCAGGCCGGTGTCACACGGATGGGAAGGTGGCAGGGAACAAGGAGGAGGGAGGAGTGGGCTGGCCACACGGCACCTGGGGGCTGTGTGGGAGGGAACTGGGATACAACCCTTCACTCCTTTGAAAACAACGGAGGCTTGGTGTGTTGGCGCATGACGTGGGAGGCTGAGGTAGGAGGATCGCAAGTTTGAGGCCAGCCTCAGCAACTTAGTAAGACTAAAACAAAAAAGAGGTTGGGGCATGGCTTAGTGATGGGGCGTCTGCCTAGCATGCACGAGGCCCTGGGTGCTGTCCCCAGGACTGCAGAGCAAAACCAAACACCACATTGAGTGTCCGCTCCCTCTCCAGTCCTGCATGGGACGGGCCGTGCAGCTGGACCAAAGCCCTGCTCTTACAAAGCCTGCAGCCGGGATGGGACACGGGACACAGAGCCCACCCGCGACTCAGGTCTCAAGGGCTATAAAGATTCAGTGAGAGAAGGGAGTGGGCAGGGACGGTGGCCCTGGAGAGGTGGCCTTGAGCCAAGACCTGAGGAGGGAGAGTCSCGGCCCGGGCCAGCTGAGGGAAGAGGAGACGGCGGGGGTCAGGCGGGGCCCCCGCGGAACGCGCTCTGGGCRGGTGGGGGCGTGAGGCTCGTGAGCTGGGGTGTGTGGGGAAGACACTTTGGCGGTTTGTGTGAATCTGTGGTCAGGTAACTGGCGGCTGTCGGAGTCACAGTGACAGATGACGTGACCAGGGTGACATGAGGTGAGAGCCTAGTGGCGTGGAYGGTCATGGAGGTGTCAGGCAGGGAGGGTTCTGGGGCACGTGGAAAGGTGAGCCATGGACTCTCCTGGTGGGTGGCCCCCGGGAACTGCGGGTGCTGCTGTGTGACCGTGGGGGCTGCGTGGTCACCCTCACAACTGGCCGACACCCCTGGAGCGTGGGGACGGGGTCTCCCTGTTCACCGTGAGCCCCTGGTGCCCAGCACAGTCTGGCTCCCAGCAGGTGCTCAGTAAAAACCAAGTGACGGGGACGGAATCGGGCTGCGCAGACCAGCCTGTCCCCAGGCCTGGCCSGGAGCTGCCCACGCCTGTTCCAGGCGCAGTGAGGTGCAGGGGCGCGCCCGGCGCTGGGCTGCGGAGGCCTGGCTGCTCCGTCCGTGGCAGGCCCTGGGTGGGTTCCCCGCGGTGGCCGTGACCTGGGCCTTTCTCTCTGTGGAGCTCTGGGGGGAGGCAGGGCCTGGCACAGACCTGAGCCACCCCCCATGTCCCTGCTTTCCCTCCAGGGACAGGGCGGGCTGTGGGTCTGATCCAGGGCTGCCCAGGGAGGGGGTGCCTGAGGGAGCCAGGGCCCCGGAGCCCTGGGACATGGCCAGTGGTGACCCAGGAAGGGCTCCCCAAGGTCCAGCACAGGGAGTGGTGGCACTGAGCCAGACTCCACGGCCTGAGAGGTGACCATCCGGTGGGCGTTTGGGCCGTGAGAGAGGAGGGCAGGAGCCAGCCCCAGAGGGCCCTGGACGTCCCGGCGAGGGGGTGGATGGGAGGAGGTTGGGGGCCATGCAAGGGTCTGAGCAGGCGAGTGATTGTCACCTTGTCTGGTGACAAGGTGCAGGATGCGCTGGAGGACAGGCTGAGAGGCAGGGAGACCTCTGGGCCTCTCCAGGAGGCCGCTGCTGACCGGGCGGGAGGTGTYGGGAACGTGGGTGAATCCCCAGCAGCTTCTGCCAACGCTGATTCTGAGGGTGCKTTTGAAAGTCCCAGTGGCATTTATGGGGCCCTAAGAGGAGACCCGCGCTCCAGGGTCTGGCACTGCTAGACGGCCGAGGGTCTTCGCCGGACCACAGGAAAGCTGCCTGAGAAGCCAAGCAGTCGGCACTTTGCCTTGGAGCATCTGAAGATAGGTAGAGCTGCAGCCTGCGGCACCGAGGGGCGACACACCATTGTTGATCATGATTCGTTAATTAACAGCTCATTTACAGAGTAGGGAAAGGAGCAGAGCGGTGGACACCTGGGCTCAACCCCTGCTTGCCTGCTGTGTGACTTTGGGCCATGGGCTCAGCCTCTCTGGGCTTTTTTTTTTTTTTCAAAATGTCAGATATTCAAATCACAATGAGAAAACCCTGGACTGAATTGTTGGCGGGTGACACTGGGTGTCAGTTTCCTCATCTGTACAATGGGTGCAGAATATTGAGTGTCATTTGGAGGTTTAAATGAGAAACCTCTGTGTGAGAGGCCCATGCAGAGTGGGCCTGGTGCGGGGAGGGCACACGGGGACCACGGTCCCATATCCAAGGTGACCCCAGGATTAAGTGAGGTGACGGGCGATGTCTCCTGTGGACACTCGATGGTTTCTAGCTTTTGTTCCCTTCCTCGGCCCCGGGGCTGGGAGTGAGGGGACAGAGATGGTGCTCCCTGCAGGAGGCGGGTCCCYGTCCAGCACAGCGCTGGCTCGGGCTCCGGGGACCCTCCTGCATGGGGTTTCGGGGAGCTCTGCCGCAGGACCAGGAGGCAGGGAGCGCGTGGTTCCCCTCTGACCATCGGTGGCTGGGCCAGGCCCGGGCCAGCTGTGCCACTGTCCTCTGAGGCTCGCCTCCCTCCCCCGAGCTGCCCAGCACCCACCTTGGGTGACGGTCACAGGGAAACCGGGGGTYGTTTCCCTCCCACTCAGGAGGCAGGGGCATGCCCTGCTGGGGCTCCCTGGAGAAGGCCAGTCTGTGTCCAGCTCTGCTCTGTCCCCTCAGGATGCCGGTGGCCGAGGCCCCCCAGGCAGCGGGCGGCCAGGGCGATGGAGGTGACGGTGAGGACGCGGAGCCAGAGGGGACGTTCCAGGGCCCTGAGGACTCCAAGAGGAAGGTCCGGGACTCCCTCCGCCTGGCGCCCCTGGGGCTGGCCCTGGTGGCGCTGGCCTCCGTGGGGGTGATGCTCTGGTATTTCCTAGGTAATGGCTGGGCCCCAGGGGGGGGCACACCCGGGAGGACTGGGGTGGCCGGGGGACCRCAGGACAGACCAGGGCTCCAGGCTCAGCAGTGCCACTCCCCGYGTGACCTGGGCAGGCTTTTCTCTCTGGGTCCCCTGCGTCCTGCCCGGGGGTCCTGCTGGCCGGCCCTTGGCTGGTCCTGGGGCTGGGAAGGGGGCTCCCCCGCTCCCGGGTCTTGGGAACCCACAGACCTGGCTGTCAACACGCCTTCCCTGGCGCTGGCCTCCTGGGTGGCCCTGAGCCTGGCAGCTGGCCGCACTCCCAGTGCAGGAGGCCCAGAGGGGCTCGTGGTGGCTGCCACCAATTAGTGCCTCTGCTCACTTGAGCCCGGCCATGTGTCCTTCAGGGAGGGACCAGGGTTCGTGACCTCTGGGTCTCCAGGCCCCAGCGTGTGGGTGCAGTGAGGGGGCAGCTGAGAGGCCAGTTTGGGGACGCCATCCTGATCCCTGCCCGACAGCGTGGCCCTCGGTTGTCCCCCCGGAGCCTGGGGCCCTGCTCTGGGTGCAGCTCTCCACCCTCCACCACCCCCYGGTGCCCCTGAGCGTCTTCCGGGTCTTTCCCTGAAACCGGTGGAGATCGAATCAGCGTCCAGCTCTCAACAGCAGGAAGAAGCGGTTCACTGCGGTCGAGCCGCCGGGCAACCCCGGGACGCGCAGGGGACGCGTCCCCCATCCACCCACTCAGTGAGGGCGCCTCCCTCGTGGGGGCTCGGGGCCGGCTTCTGGGGACAGCTCTGGTGATCATGCGTGGAGCCAGACAGGACAGTGCAGGCAGCGTGTGCCAGGGTCGCGGGAGCCGGGGGCCCAGGAGCCCCAGAGGGGTCAGCCTGGCCTGCCTGGTGACCATGACACAGTCCGCAGAGGTGGCCTGGGGTGGCTCCATCCCGGGGCGGAACTTAGGCCCACTGAGAGGAACTGGGCCCACTCTGGAGCAGCCGTCGGGGAGCTGGGTCTACCTGGGCCCCGCTCAGCGAGGCCTGGGGGACGGTGGTCTGGAACCAGCTCCCGGGGGACCCGCGTCCCTGGGTCTGACTCATAGATTCTGCTCAGAGCCGAGCAGCGGGAGGGAGCCTCAGGGTGGGCAGGAAGCCAGCGCCCCACAGAGCCCAGGGCTGGGAGGCCTCTTGGGCGGCGGGTAATTAGTCCTCGGGGTAAACCCGAGCCCCGGGCTGGGGACAGGAGCTCACCTGCCAGTCCTCCTCTCCGCAAGGAGCCTGTTCCTCCAGCCCCGGGTGCTGGCCGGGAGGACCSAGGGCTGAGAGCTGGAGGGGGGAGGGCCGCCCCCCGCGGGGATCAGGGTGCAGGAGCGTTGGAGTGCTCCTCCCCCTGGACCGGCGGCCCCACAGACAGGGCACGGGCCAGGGAGGTGGGTCACAGTGGTGCCCTGACATCTGGAAGTGGCCAGTGGCCAGGGACACAGAGCAGGACCAGCTCCTGAGGAGCCAAGAGCCGACCCAGAGCCAGGGGAGGCAGAGCTGGCTCCCGGGCTCCCCGCTGCCCCTGAGTCGCCTGTCAGTGCCACCAGCCCCAGTCCCCAGCCTCTCCCCATCCAGGGCAGCCCACGCCCTCTCCCCAGACACCGGCCCCAACTGCCCACTGGCAGCTGCTTTGGTGGGAGCACAAACCCCCAGAAGAGACGCCCTCAGGTGACAGTGGCCCTCAGGTGACGGTGGCCCTCTGGCTGCAGGTGCTCTGCCTCCTCCTGGCCCTGCACCCAGAGGCCAACCCTCCCTGCCCCGTCCAAGGCCAGCTCTCCTGGGGGCCCCTGAGCCCACACAGTGGCCCCAGAGGGGGTCCATCAGAGCCCCCACCCCATTTCTCCACTCCCTCCCACCTTGTGACGGCAGAGTCCTGGGAGGGGCTGAGAGGGACCCCGGCTCCACTCCCCTCCCTCTGGCTCCACCCTCCCCAGCTCCAACCGCTGTCCCTGACAGAGTGTGCCTCGGTGCCCTGGTTTGTAMCCCTGTGCAGGGACTCCAGGGACGCTGACTGAGCACCTATCGTGTGCAGAAATGGGTCTAAAGAGTTGCTGAATCCAGGGTCCGGGTCTCGGTCCTCGGTGTGCATTGCTGGGCCCAAGGCTCGTGCCCTCCTCTCTGGGTCCTCTGCTCTGGGGCCTCTCCTCCCCCCCTCCCCCACTTTCCCCACTCTCCCCCCTGACCTGAGCCGTCAATGTCCTTCGTGACAGTGACCCCCGTGTGCCTGTGCAGGTCTCCTCGCCTCCTCCTGGAGGTCCGGGGCCTCGCAGCCCCTCACTGCAGAACGCACACATTCCCCCAGCCTGGCCCGCGTCCACCTGCCAGGTTCTGACTCTCCCCTCGTCCCCCCCAGCACCAATGTCCCAGAAACCGGACAAGCCCCCAAACAAGCCCCCAGCCAGCCCATGTCCCACTCTCCACCGCCACAGCGGGGTCCGGCTGCCCTCGCCTGGAGGACTCCCTCCTGGGCCCTCGGAGGGGCCTCCTGGGGTCTCCCTGCTTGGCCTGCCACTCCACAGAGCCCTTCCCCACAGCACAGCAGAGGGACCATGGCAGATGGCGAATCAAATCACCCCACACGCCCCCGCCCTACTCAAAGGCAAACCCAATCCTCCCGGGCTTGCAAGCCCTTGGTGGCTCTCCTCTCCCCAGCTCACCTCCTGCCCCGCCCTCAGTCCCTCGGCTGCTCCTGAAACACACCCAGGAAGCTCCTGCCTGGGGGCCTTTGCACCTGCTGGCCCCTCTCTGGGCTGCTCTGGGCACACACGTGCATCCTGGCCCACCCTGCCAGCGTCTCCCCTGGTCTCTGTATTGCAACACCAGCCCCCRAGTTGGCAGCAATTGCTCCCTCCGGAGTGTTCTGGGTGGTTCATTGTCCTCATTGCCAGGTGACTCGTTCTTAGGGGCAGGATGTGTCCTTCATGGTTTTGTTCATTGTTATAGTGACATATTCACAAGTGCTTTAGGCCAGTTTCTAGTAGGTTCTCAGTAAATATTTGTTGAGCTAATGAACAGGAGTACAGACCAGGGCTGTGAACCGCACTCGACACCAGTCAAAACAGTCTGTGCMAAATGGAAACTTGCTGTCGTCACCTTGATTGAAGGCTTTCATGGTTTCCTCCGTTTGTGGGCTAAGACTCCAGCCCGCCC